CAGGGCCAGGCAGTGTGATCGTCCGCTGAGGCCACCTGCGGAGAAAGCCAGGGCGTGACAGAGCAGAAAAAATCCGAGTGCCCTACAGCACGGAGCGGGGAAACAAGTTACAGTACGTCCACCTTGAATACAAGTGAGCCAGGAAACGTGCCAGCGTGGCACAGAGTCTGGAGGACCGCAGATGCCCCAGTGGTGGATATGCCAACTGTCAGGGTGGCCATCACCAGGAAGGGACACGCTGCAACACGGATAAGCCTTGAAAACACGATGCTCAGTGAAAGAAGCCAGGCACAAAAGATCCCGTATTATATGATTCTCAGTTTCCTCATCTGCAAAATGGGGGCAATTAAAAGGCATCCCTACAGGTAGTTGGTTGTAAGGTCTCACTAAAAATAATCCACAGAGCAACTAAGCCCGTGTACCACAACTACTCAGCCTGCACTCAGCCTGCACCCACGAGCCACAGCTACCGAGCCCGCGCACCTAGAGCCCATGCTGTGCAATAAGAGAAGCCACCGCAGTGAGAAGCCCGCGCACCGCAACGAAGAGTAGCCCCCGCTCGCCACAACTAGAGAAAGCCCGTGCGCAGCAACGAAGACCTGATGCAGCCAAGAATAAAATAAATAAATAAATTTATTTTTTAAAAAAATCCACATAAAGAGCGTAGTACGTAGTAAATGTTCAGTAAATGTCAGTTGTGATTATAAATCCTGTTATTATCCCTGGCGGCATCTGCATTTTGTGCTTGTAAGGAAAGGGTCAAGGTATACACATGTGTGCATGTGTGTACACGTGTATGTCTGTGTGCATGGTATGTGTGTGCATACACAGATCTCTGTGGGTTCCTTGTGTGTGGGTGAGCTCCTGCAATGTGTATACCTGCGTGCATTTGTGTACAATGAGTGCATGTATGTGTGTGTGCATGCATGCATTTGTGTGCATCTGTGTATAAGCACGTGTGGGTGTGCACACACGTGTGTGCGTTTGTGTGTATATGTGCGTGTGTGAGCGCACACGTCTGTGTTCCTTCTCTGGAATGCAACATCAGCAGGACAGCGTGGGTGTGGAGCCGCGCAGGCTGCCGCAGGAGGGAGGGGACTCCAGGCTGGCACAGGCCCTGTCAATTCCCAGCTCACCTTGTTTTCATCAAAGACGTTGAAAACAAATGTGGCGAACTTGGTGGGGTCTCCAAACGGGAAGAACTGCTTGTAGATCTTCTGGAAGCCCGCTGCATCCAGCTGCCCGCTGGGGCAGTCCTTGATGAAGCCTTTGTACCTGGAGGTAGAGGCCAGGTGAGAGAGGGTAAAGGAGACTCCAGCATCACCCACCTGCTGGGAGCTCCTGCCCAGTGCCCTGAAAGCCTGTGAGTCCCTGTCCAGGGAGACAGTGCCACACGGGGTTGTGAGCACAGACCTGGACTCCACAGGCATGGACTCATCCCACCTCTGCCTCTCGCTAGCTGTGTGACCTGGGACAGGTGGCCACACCTCTCTTAGCCTCATCTGTCCCAGAGGGATAAGAGTCACTTGGCCACTCAGCCCCCTGCTCCACACAGGTGACTAAAACAAAACTTGCATGAACGACCTCCCGGAAGTCCCACACTCGCACAAGGTACTCCCCCCTCCCCGACCCTCTCCACTGAGCCCCTCCCGGAGCCAGGCAGGCTGGTGGTGCTGGTGGCGCTGGTGGGCAGAGGCACCATATGGGGCCGGCAGCTGGCTCCTCCCACATGCCTGCACCCCGCAGTGTGCACACACCCGCTCCCCTGCCTCTGTTCCCAGAGAACTGTGTAAACGACGCGGGAGCCGCCCAGCAAGCTCGGAGGGCATCCTGGTGGTTTCCAACTGGACCTGTCCACCCTGCATTCCCAGTGCCCAGGGACCCTCCAGATACCCGGCCAGCTGATGGCAACATGGCTTTGCAGCCCAAACCCCAGTCCTGCCATTTGCTAGCTGCATCCTCAGGCAGGTGCCTTCACCTCTCTGAGCCTGACTCTCCTCATCTATAAACAGGGACAGCTTTCACATCCATCCTGTGGGGACTGCGTGAGATGATGATGCAGCATACTTGGCACAGGGCTGGACGTAAAAAATAAGCAATGGCATGATCTTTAGTATCATGACCTCAATGTGTTCTTTTATTTTTTTATTTTTTATTTTCTTTTCTGTACACGGGCCTCTCACTGTTGTGGCTTCTCCCGCTGCGGAGCACAGGCTCCGGACACGCAGGCTCAGCGGCCATGGCTCACGGGCCTAGCCGCTCCGCGGCATGTGGGATCCTCCCGGACCGGGGCACGAACCCGTGTCCCCTGCATCGGCAGATGGACTCTCAACCACTGCGCCACCAGGGAAGCCCCAATGTGTTCTTTTAAATCAATTCATAAGTTGGCTCCTGCGTGTAGCTTGGCAACTCCAACCAGGACATACATTCCCCTGAGGAGGATTCCCAGCACAAAGGGGGGCTAGAGAGAGGGGTCAGCTATTATCAGCTACCAGCTGCTACCTCTGCTGGACCACTGTCTGCTGGGAACTTTGCAAACCTGATTCTCCTGGAACGCCCATAACAGCCCTATGAGCCCTATGATGAAGCCCCCCCCCCCTTTTTTTTTTTTTGGCCACGTGGCTTGTGGGATCTTAGTTCCCCAACCAGGGATTGAACCTGGGCCCCAGCAGTGAAAGTGCGGAGTCCTAACCACTGGACCGCCAGGGAAGTCCCAAGCCCATTGTAAAGATGAGGAAACTGAGGCTTCGAGATGGGGAGATCTGCAAGTCCTTGCAGCCCAGACTGGAGCCGAGGTGGGGTTCAGAGTAACCACTGATGGGGCCAGATGCTCAGAGACACGGGCTCGCTGAAGATGTCCCCTCCTTCCAGCCCCCCTGTTCTCTGGTCTACCCAGGGCCACTCTCCCGTCACGTCCCGGGAAAGTTGCTGGTGGCGCCGTGACTGAGGGCCGTATACACAGAGAGCATGTGGAGAAGCCACTGTCCCTCCACCCATCAGAGAACAAGCTAAGGCGCCCAGGCTGGGTGAAGGGACACGCAGGGCACCGGAAGTAGGGAGCCTTGGGAATTCTGAGGCCTAAGTGATCAAGGTCAGATGTCAGAAAGAAAGCAAGACAAGACTCTTGCTAACATGTCAGCGGTTCCTTAGGGGTGAGGGCGAGGCTGGGAGATGGAGTGGGGCGTGGCGTTGCGCTGCCGTAGGCACCCACTCTCCCGCAGAGCTCCCCAGCAAGCATGAGGCTGTAAGAAACGGCTGGGCCTGTGCGCGCCTCCCCACCCACCCCCTGGGGCACCTCGAGGGGCCAGAGGCCCAGGGAGGCGGTCCCGGCCCAGTAACCAGGATCGCTGCCCCATCTCGCCACCACCTGCACCTCTGACGACAGCCCCGTGCGGGGCACTGGCCTAAGCCTTCGTGGGCGGTTCCTCCTGCAGTCGCCACTCAGCCCTGCTCAGTGGGTTCAGTGATCCCCATTTCACAGATGAAGGCACTGAGGCACAGAGGTCAGGGCCCCTCCCACAGCAGGTACCAGAAAGGAACTCGGCCCCTCCGGGTCCCTCCCCTTGAAGCCTCCTTCCCAGCTGGGTGTTCCAGACTCAAACCTTCACATCTGGGCCAGGACGCAGAGCCAGAGAGGAGCGTTTCAGAGCCTATTCTGGTCCATGACCCCAGGCCCCTGGGCAGGACGGGTCCCTGGACAGGAGGAGGGAACAGGCCCGGCGCCAGGCCGTGATGACCACAGTGGGGCACAGCCGGCTCTGGAGGCCAGAGGGGGGCCATCGCTTCCCCTTGTGTCCCCCAGAGCCTCCCATTTCCCCACAATGGCTGTGTGTCACTTGAGTAATTTGAAAAGATTATTAAAAACAATAAAGGGAGAACAAAAGGTGCCCAGAGGCGTCTTGAGGCCCGGCCCCTGCGGGCGCCTGGCTCCTAGGAGGGAAGACAGTGCAGGTGCCGCAGCAGCGGGAGCTGTCAGTGCTGTGAGCACCTGTGGGGGGCCCTGAAGCTTTATTGGGGGCAGGTGGGTACAGGCAGGCTGGCCTCGGTGGGGAGCCTCCAGGGGACTATCTGGTTTCCCCTGCAGAGACTGTCACTGTGGGGCCCCAGCTCCCTTGCTGCCATTAGCAGCAGGCCCACCCCCTCAGGGGCCCAATCGATGAGGGTTTGCTTCAGCCTGACGGCCCCGCCTCCTCTGGCCACACACCCTCACCGCCCCACACCACCCATATTCCACACCCTGCCGCACTTTCCAGAGCTTGCCATGCCATCCAGCCGCCAGGCCTTTGGGCCTGCAGGTCCCTGTGCCTGCTCATCTGCTCCCCCATCCCTTGAACGACCCCAGCGCAGCGTGAACCACGCTGTGTCATGTTTGCCACCAGGCTGTGTCCTCCACCCAACAGTGAACTCCCAGTGCCCCGACGCCTTGTACATAACGGGGGCTCAGTAAATGTCCAGTGAGCTCAATGAATGAGTTGAATGAATGAATGAATGAATGAACGAATGAACACACAGAGAGGGGGAGAGGCCAGGTGTCAGGCGTCTTCTTCCTAAGCCCTGGGCACCGTGGTCAGAACCTGAGAACTCCATGCAGATGGTTAGAGCACCACAGATATACGCCCACCCCTCTGTGGATTGATGGGGAACTGGGGGCCCAGAGAGGGAGAGAGACTGGCCCAAGGTCACACAGCAAGTTAGCAGCAGATACAGGGCTCACACCCGGGACTCCTGCCTCCCAGGCTCCCTCTTTGCCAGGCTGCACTGGCCCCAGCCCCATGGAAAGCCAAGAGCCTGCTCCCCAAACATTGCATAACCCCATCCATCGTTCATCATCAGAAGATGGGGGGCACCCTGTCTCGCTGGAGCAGAGGGGAGGAGGTCTGTCCCAGACGCCCCACTTGCCCCAGGCCCCAAATTTGCTCTTCAAGTCCTCACAGCTCTGAGGCCAAGACTTCCTGCCATGGTCCGATTCCGAGGTGCAGCCCAGCCCCCGTGGTGGGCCGAGCCAGGACACTCACCCAGGCACACACCCCCACCGACACCCCACCCCACGGCAGGCACCCAAGGGACCTGCGGCTTAATAACAGAGCTCTTGAGACCAGCCTGAGCAGGTCGCAGCACGGGTCTGGGGCAAGGCGGCAGTGACCCCGGCCCCGCCACGGCGCAGGCCTGGAACATGGACGACTCGCTGACAACCGCCGTGGCTCCACCACGCGGAGCCTGTGCGCCCGGTCGGCCTGGAGCAGCTGCGCGGGCGCGGGGTCCTTTACAAATATGAGAATGACCCAGAATTAGAGAAGATCCGAAAAGAGAGAATCTACTCCTGGATGGACATGATAACCATAGGCAGAGACAAACTGCCAAGTTACGAAGAAAAGACCAAGATGATTTACAAGGAGCATTTACTCCTGGACGACAAGATTCGCGTCACCTTGGTCGGCAGTGGGTACTTTGACGTGAGCGATAAAGAGGACAGGTGGATCCGGACCATCATGGAGAAAGGAGACACGATCATTCTCCCTGCCGGGATTTACCACCGTTTCACACCGGACGAGAAGAAATACGAGAAGGCCACGCGGCTGTCTGTGGGAGACCCGGTGTGGACGGCATACAACCGGCCGGCTGACAAACTTCGAGGCCCGGAGGCAGAACCTGGAATCGCTGGCGCAGACAGCCTAGCGGTGCCCTGGGGCCTCGTGCACCCCGGCCCCCCTTGTGAAGGTTCCCGATGTGATGGCAGCAGAAAATCTGTCATTTTCTCCTTGCTTTTGTGTTGTAGACTTGAGGCTAGGTGAGCTTTCGTCTGCAAGATCGTTTGATCAGAAAACATTTTAATGGAAGGGGCTACAGAACTTGTTCGTACATGGAAGCACCTGTGGAAAGCTGGGCAAACGCGTTCATTTTCTCTGATTCAGGATCAGGGGTCAGTGGCCCTGTGTCAGCTGGTGCCTTCAGCTCTGACCGAATGAATTTCATCTCCCCAGATGCAGCCGTTTAGCTGCGCCATCTGGACAATTTTTGGACTTTAAGCAGATACCAGGCGAGGCCATGCCTGCCTTGTGCAGAGGGGTGACAGTGGATGACAGGACTGGGCAGAGAAAAGATGCTTTTCTCCCAAAACATGGGGGAAGCTGGGGGGCGGTGGGGTGCCGTGGGGGACGAGCTGGCATGTTAGGGGGACACTCGCTTGCCTAGGCCACTTTCTTGTTCAAAATATAGTAGCTGGGGCTTCCCTGGTGGCACAGTGGTTGAGAGTCCGCCTGCCGATGCAGGGGACACGGGTTCATGCCCCAGTCCGGGAAGATCCCACATGCCGTGGAGCGGCTGGGCCCGTGAGCCATGGCCGCTGAGCCTGCGCGTCCGGAGCCTGTGCTCCGCAACGGGAGAGGCCACAACAGTGAGAGGCCCGCGCACCGCAAAAAAAAAAAAATATATATATATATATATATATAGTAGCTGCCTTAATGTTAAAAGAAAACAAATAAAAATTTTAAAAATAACAGAGTTCCTGCCCAAGAATTCCATCCCAGGATGACTGGGAGATGTACGTGACTGCAGCCCCATCCTTGACCCAGGCTCAGGTTCCAACAGGCCTGGGCCTCTCCCTCTCCCCGCCCTCACCCCCTCTCTCCTTCAGACACGCTGCTGCCTGGAAACCTGCTCTGGGGCCTGCCCTGTGCTCCAGTCCTGGCCCATCCTGTCTCACTGTGAGAGGGGCCCGAGCACACCCCTTCCCTGCAATGCCCCCCAGTTTCCCTGCTGGTAAAATAAGTGACTTAGACTAGATCAGGGTTTTTCCACCCACGCCACTGACATTTGGGGTCAGATGATTCTTGGTCATGGGGGTCTGTCCGGTGGTTTACCGGCATCCCTGGCCTCTACCTGCTAGATGCCAGGAGCACCCCCGCCCCAGGTTATGACAACCCGAAGTGTCTCCAGACAGTGTCAAATATCCCCCCAGAGCAGAATCACTCCAGTGGAGAACCACGGGGCTAGATGGTCTCTGGGGACCCCCACAAAGCGGGGGAAAGGGTCTTCCCCAGTGTCTGCCTTCCAGTGATCTGCAATTCTGAATAATAGGGACCTACTGAGAGCCGGGCACGGAGCTATGTGATTTCCAGGCACCATTTCACCAAATCGTCTCAACAGCCCCAGGAGGGGAGGATTATGATGCCCATTGTACAGATGGGGAAACTGAGGCTGGGGGCTGTTAAATCTCCTGGCTCAGGGCCTTCACACGGCATTTCTTTTGCCCGGCCCACTCCTTCCCCTCCTCCTTCCCCCTTTTTTTCTTGGCTTCAGTGCATCTCCCCTAGAGAAGCCCGCTCTGGCCACCCAAGACCCCAGTATACACACTGGTTGACACACTCACAGCACCCTGTCCCTGGCCTGGGCCTCGCAGCTGTGCCTGTAGCCTGTATGATGCCTGGGCCAGTGAGTGCACCACAGGGTCCGTCAGGGCAGGAACCCCGTCTTATAGCTCACCCCGAATCTGCAGGGCCCACTGCAGGTGCTCAGTAAATACCTACTGGAGCTGCACAGCTAGCAAATGGGGAGCCACAACTGGACCCTGCCGCCGCCTCTGTGTGCGGCCAGTCAGCAGCGAGGCCCGAAGCCTCCGTGGCCTGCTTTCCTCAGTGCCTTCAGCCTGACTCCAGACCAAGGGTGGAAGCAGCAGTAATCCTGGCACTGTCGCTGGTGCAGGTTAGGCCGGGGAGGGGGAGTGAGGCACAAACAGCCTTCTGAGGAATTTATATGGAGACCACCCCTCCCACAACCGTGTTCAAGAGCAGGGGTCTCAACTCTCTTTGGGGATGGGAGGAGAAGCTGTGGAACCGAGCCTGGGACGTGGCACGGCTCCTGAGCTCCACACACCCAGTTTCCAGCCACCAGAGCACAGGTTTTCGGCACGGTTGACTGTGCTTGGGAACCAGCTCTCCACGATGGGGTGGAGACGAGAGAAAAAAATCCCAGATTTGACAACTGCATTCTTAAGCCTCTTTAAGAGGGAAAGGGGAAAAAAAAAGAAATCTGTCACTTCATAAAAACACTGAAGGCTGAATGCCACTTATAAAACACTCCCGACTCAACGCTGGGCTTCCTCCCTGTAAGCTTCCCACCCCGCCTCTAACCGCCACTGCGCCAGCCTGTGTGCCCCAGGGGACTCCAGCACCTCTTCTCCCCCAGTCCCTGCTGCCCCCAGTGCTGGCCATGGGCCTGGTACATAATAGGTGCTCAGTCAAGACTTACGGAATGAATGAACCAACAAATGAATGAAGGAATGAGTGAGCGGATGAATGAATTAGTGAAAGAGTGAGAGAATGAATGAGGGAGTGAGCAAATGAGGGAGTGAGTGAATGAATGAAGGAGTAAGGGAGTGAATGAGGGAGTGAATAAATGAATGAAGGAGTGACTGACTGAATGAATGAGGAGCAAATGAGTGACTGAATGAATGAGGGAGTGAATAAGTGACCGGATGAATGAATGAATGAGTGAATGAAGGCATGAGGGAGCAATGAGGGAGTGAATTAATGAATGAATGAGTGATGAGTGAATGCATGAATGCACGCTGGCCATGAGGCACGGGTCCAACTCCAGCTCAGCATCCCCGTTCTCTGTGGCCCCCAGCATCCCCAACGCCGCCAGGGCCTTGGGTCCCCAAAGGCACCAGCCTGCTAGGACTTTCTGGAATTCACTGCTTGCAGTTCCCACAGAGCCTCGTCCTCTGGGACCCAGCTTGAAGCAAGCCTCGCATAGCCCTCCATGCCCACCTCCCTCCCCGCCAGGGTTAAGTGCGGCAGATGCTGCTCTCCGCAGTGTGGAAAGTGGGAAGTAAATAGACGGATAAATAATAAAGCGTAACCCCCAGCTGCAATGAGGGACTGCCACAGCGGCCCTGGTAAACTGTTCTCCCATTATCTCTTCAAACACCTCCCTTCCCCCGGCATTCCCCTCCCAGCTCCCTGGAGACCTGCCTTCAGACGATCCTGGAGGAGGGGCTCGAACACATCCAGGAGGATGAGGCCTCTTCCCCGCTCCTCTCCCCTCCCCCATCTCTGTCCTCACCACGTCCCCCCATCCTCCACCGCCTTCAGCTCTGTGGGGTTTCCCAAAGCCAGAGCCAGCAGAGCTGAGCCTCAGTAGCCCAGGCCGTGGAGGCCAGCAAGCTGGACCCAGACTCCACACACACACACAGAGCTGTGAGACCCAGGCAAGTGTCTCTGCCCCTCAGAGCCTCAGTTTCTTCATCTGTAAAACGGGCTGTTCCTGGACTGACCCCACGGCATTGGCGGCGGCCTCCTTACCCACAGCTGTGACTGCGGAGGAGGGTCCAGGATTGACAGCTGGCCCCGTGGAGGCGGCTGCAGAATTCCTCCTGCTTCCGCCCACTTTTTGTTACAATACCATCGGGTTATTTGGTTATTATAAATGTAACAAAAGCATTACAGACAACTTGTAAAATAGAAAATATAAGAGAAAAAAGAATACCCATGATGCCACCACCCCCAGCACACCCACTTCTAGCCTCTGGCCAGTCTCCTTTCCATCTTCTTTTCCCTCCACTATCTTCATCATGGAACTGTGTTGGGGCACTATTTGTGCCCTGCTGTTCCCCCTTGGGATGGCGTTCCCTTCACCCTCCAGGTGATCACAATTTCACGGTCGCCTTTAAGGGCCTGGGACCTGCTACAGTTTCCTAGTCAGTCCCCACCGAGGTTCCCGACCTTCCATTGTGGTGAATGGAGCTTGGTCAAGAACAAGGGATCCGGTGGGCAGGGGCCTCGGGCTGGCTGTGGACCTGACACTGGCCCCACCTCCTGACGCCCCAGCCTCCTCCCGTCTCTGCCAAATACAGAGCTAGGAGCAGCAGAGATGACACCATGGGTGTCCAGCATGAAGCCGGGTGTGAGGTGAGCGCCCAGCTGGCCCGGCTCAGGCATCACATCCCTGTGGCCTGGTCTGCAGTCCTGACCACCTGGGGCCTCAGCTCTCCTGGAGGACCTGGGATGTGCCCAGCTCTGCTTCTGCTCACTGGGTGGCCCAGGACAAGTAACAGAGTCACAGAAGACCCCTGGGTCTGGTTCCTATTCTGGGGAGCAGCTACTGAAAGTCAGCACCAAACAAGACGATCCTGTACCAGGCTGGAGAAACAGGGGCAGGGTGGTCAGTGCAGACCTCTCCCAAGAGGTGACATTGCAGCGAAGATGCCAAGATCTGGGGCAGAGGGAACAGCAGAGGGAACAGCAAGGATGGAGGCCCTAAGGTAGGAAGGAGAATGGCATGGCTGAGGGACAGTAAGTGTGGCTGGTGCCTGGTAAGCCGGGGAGACGGTGAGGCCAGAGACCTTGGGGAGCCCCGAGGACCAGGCAATAAAGGCTGGATCTTTATTCTAAGTGCAGTAAGAAGCCACGAAGGGTTTTAAGCAAGAGAGAGAGAGAAACACAGGAGGAAACTGAAGCCGCCCTGGCTGAATCCACCCACACATGTCACAGGTGGGACAGGAAAACTCTGTCCATTGCGACCCCGCTGCTCTCCGTGTGCCCCTCCCTCCCATTTCCCAATCCCACCCCAGATGGTTTGGTGCTAAATTGTTTGCTGCCCTGGTAGTCTGGGCTCAGGAACCTCAGTTTTCCCAAGGAAGGGCAGGCATTCCCCAGCTATCAGGTGCCAGAGAGCCA